GTATTTTTAGTAGAGACAGGGTTTCACCATGTTGGTCAGGCTGGTCTCGAACTCCTGACCTCGTGATCCACCCACCTCGGCCTCCCAAAGTTCTGGGATTACAGGCGTGAGCCCCCGTGCCTGACCGGTTTTGTTTTTTGAGACAAGGTCTAGCTCTATTGCACTGGCTGGAGTGCAGCCTCCCAAAGTGCTGGGATAACAGGCCTGAACCACCTCGCCTGGCCAGCAATTACTTTCTAAGTTAAGCTTTCATGATAAGACCAGAGTTTCTTTTAAAGTTTAATCCAAAGAACTTTGGCAAAGAGTTTCATAAACAATTGAGGTAACAATTTAGTGTTTGGCCACAGTTCTGGTTAAGCTTCTTTGTGTGTCGGTGGTTTTGTTCCGGCCTACCCACCATCACCAAGGCTATTTGTGTATGACGTGTAGCCTTCCTATGCCTGAGTATTCTCAGGACTAAGACGCACATCAGAAACATTTGCAATGTGAATGGTAATCAAAACATTGCTTCTCAGAGAGTGAGGAAGGAAGGTGGGGAATGGATAGCTTGAGATCCTCAATTCACTGATGATTCTGATACTTCATCTTCCCCTCTGCCCTCAAGAGTTTTTGGCCTGATTTAGCCACCTATCTGTAAAATATTCACCTAACTTGTATCATGGAAGATTTAATTGAAAACTTTGAAAGTCCAGAATTCTTGTTTCCCTTTTGAACAAATCTTTTAAGTTTCTCCTCTCCGTAAAATGAAGATATTAGAATGTTAGATCTAAAATTTGAAATTCCACATCATTGTGAAGCTCCAGCCCTGTGAAAGGATTCAAAGTATTTTCTCTATGGATTTTGTGTTGATGGCATCATCTTCCTGTGTCAGAAGTAGCTGGTATATTGAGAGATATACATGATACAGAATTTCAGTTTTTCTTCTTTATACTTTAGTGAATTGCCAGATTATTTTAACAGTGAGCACATGTTTTTATACATGTACATTTTTAATGTCTATTTTTGTTATGAAAGGACTAGATAAGCCATTTCCACCTAGGAAAAACAAGACCAAAACATAAATAAACCAGTTTGAAAACTATGGGTGGTGGCAGGAAACAGCCACTTCCAGTCAGCTGTGCTGCCACTGTGGTGATCAAAGCAGACTTTGTGTTCCAGAATTCCAGTTGTAAGACTTTAAACAGGCAGGGCGCAGTGGCTCACGCCTGTAATCCCAACACTTTGGGAGGCCGAGGCAGGTGGATCACCTGAGGTCAGGAGTTTGAGACCAGCCTGGCCAACATGGTAAAACCCCGTCTCTTCTAAAATACGAAAATTAGCCAGGCATGGTGGCTAGCACCTGTAATCCCAGCTACTTGAGACGCTGAGGCACAAGAATTACTTGAACCCAGGAGGTGGAGGTTGCAGTGAGCCGAGATTGCGCCACTGCCCTCCAGCCTGGGCAACAGAGCGAGACTGTCAAAAAAAAAAAGCCTTTAAACATAAGTAGTCCATTACTGATATTGTGTATGGAGAATAAATGAGTTTCTATGACTTGTACCTTCAATTTTGTAAATGATTTTCAAAGTTCTTCCTGCAAATTATGTAGGCATAGTTTTTATTTTTTAAAAATGAGCAGTAGTAATCATTCTTAATAGAACTTGTTTGAGTTCTAGCTCCCTTTCCCCATAAGAAACAAAAAGGAGCCGGGCGCGGTGGCTCACGCCTGTAATCCCAGCACTTTGGGAGGCCGAGGCGGGTGGATCACGAGGTCAAGAGATCAAGGCCATCCTGGTCAACATGGTGAAACCCCGTCTCTACTAAAAATACAAAAAATTAGCTGGCCATGGTGGTGCGTGCCTGTAATCCCAGCTACTCAGGAGGCTGAGGCAGGAGAATTGCCTGAACCCAGGAGGCGGAGGTTGCGGTGAGCGGAGATTG